TCCCTCCCTGCCCTTGTCCCAAGCCCCTCCCCAGCTTTCCTGGAGCCCCTTCAGGCACTGGAAGCTGCTCTAAGGTCTCCCTGGAGCCTTCTCTTCTCCAGGCTGAACACCCCAACTCTCCCAGCCTGGCTCCAGAGCAGAGCTGCTCCAGCCCTGGGATCATCTCCCTGACCTCCATGTCCTTGTGCTGGGGGCTCCAGAATTGAACCCAGCTCTCTAGGTGGGACCTCACAAGAGCAAAGGGGGAGAATCCCCTTCCCTTGACTTGCTGGCCACACTTTTGCTTGCTTTCTTGCCTCCTTTCACCAGTCATCAGCTCCTCTTCACAGAGCTGGGGCAGAATTGATGTCCCACGAGGATGCCAAGGGCCAAACATTCCTGGCATCATTCAGAAAACTGAACACAACTGGGCATCCCAGTGAGTCAGGCCCTCAGAGCACCCTGCTGCTTCTCCTCCTGTACCCACACATTTGCAACTGCCATGGGCAAGGAGGCTGCCCTGGACCTCAAGTCCCCATGGCATCTTTATCTTCTACAACCAAAAACTTGCTTTGGGCTCCTGGTGCCTTCATTTGCATCCTAAACTGATTGGAGTTGGGGAGAATTGATTTCATTAAAAGCTATCTCCAACCCCAAGGAAGACAGTGAAATGACTGTTGATTAAATTGCCCCATCTGTCCACTGAGATTGGCTGCAGGAAAAGCCCAAAGATCATTTCACCTCAGCATCCCTCTTCTTTTTTTAGGAATGATACAACAGCCAAACAATTCCAATCAACCCAGCCTGTCAGGCATCCAAGGCTCCATCTCTGTGCTAAGAAACCCTGTGCAGAGACAACAGCTCAAAGGCTCCATCCTTCCCTCTTTCACTGCCCCTAGGCTCTAGCTTCATGTCCTTGGGTGGGTGGTCTTCTTGTGCATCCTTGGTACCTCTCCAAGCCCACAGCTCCATGCTGGGTACCACAAGGCAACGTGCTCCAAGCACTGTGACATGATTCCCTGAGCTTCCAGAGCTTGGTGGGAACTCCAAGCCCACAGCTCCATGCTGGGTACCACAGGGCAAGG